GTTGCTGCAATACCGTGGGAGCTCTTAATAGATCCTAACTCAGAAGAGGTAATTATTATGAGGCTTGGACGTTGAACGTAAATAGTCTCATTCACGGTTCCCTGCGCCATCTTGAAAGGTAGCCATGCCTTTACATCAATGCGAGACAACCTTTTAGCGTACAATGATAGATAGCAGTGAATAATTGTCTGGAGGTGTGAAAGGTTTCTATCATTGCACGCTCAACGGTCGTATAGCTTCGATGGCGCAGGGAACCGTGATACAGACTATTAAGGAGTACTAGTTCGCAAAGTTCTAAGGAAAAAGTTGTACGAGAAAAAAAAGGAATCATTGCACGCTCAACGGTCGTCTCGCTTCGATGCAAAGGCATGGCTACCATTCAAGATGGCGCAGGTAACCGTGAAGGAGACTATTGAAAGTCATGACTGATCTCTTAGATACCGATCCATACTTTAAATTATTTTATGTCTTTCGTGAGTGAAGTCTGTCTAATATATTAATAATAAAAATTAGTGACTGACAGAACCAAGGCGTCTATCCGGCCATCTCCAGGTGACAAGTGTAAACAATTAACCTAAATTCAATAACCAAAGATCCCTAAAACAAACTAAATATTATCCAATTCGCATAAGCTTGTTCCGGCTTCACAAGTTATATAAATAACATTTCTTGTTTTTCCTCTTAAAGAATACCACTCTCTTCAGTCTTCTCAAGACAGCCCGTCTGCTTCGGTTATTTAAGGCCGCGCGTAAACTGGATCGAAATTATGAGTATATGACGTCACTTCTATTTTTGATGCTCATGTTTTTTATGCTTGTTGCTCATTGGATGGCTTGTGCGTGGTACGCCATTGGCTTCACKGAAGCTCACGATAAATTAGGATTATCTTGGCTATCAAAACTSAGTGAAGAAAGTAATCTGAACATTAGCACAAATCTCCCTCCGCTGAAGTCACGTTATATAACGTCACTGTATTACGTCATGACGCTGTGTACTACTGTTGGGTTTGGAAATGTTTCTGCAAACACCGACTATGAAAAGATTTTTACCATTTGCGGGATGGTTCTTGGAGGTAAGCGCGTGAAATATCGACTGCAATCAACCACCTTCGATTTTGCTTTGCTTTGCATTCAGTGATTGTTATTGTTTTTTTTTTTGCGTATGTTTTTGTGTATTGTTTATTTGTTGGTGTTGTTTTGTTTTGTTTTTTATCACTCCGTTTATTTTTCTATTTCATCGTTATTTTTGTAGTTGATTTTTTTCTAGTTTCATTATTTSTGTACTGCGGCTTTTTTCCCACATGTTTGGTCTCCTTTTCTTCGACGTCGAATTGATTTAGGTCAGCTTAGATAACGTGATATCCAGYGTCGGCCGGGTTGCTCAAAGCTCGATTAGTGCTAATCCTGGATTAGGTCTTCAAAAGCCTATTGAGTTAAACCTGGCGATTATAAAGTTAATCAGGCTTTGAACAAACGGCACTATAGGTTTATGCGTAAGCATGCACACGCATAATTGTTTGTTTTGTTTCAGCTGTTATGTATGCTGGTATCTTTGGAAATGTTACAGCAATCGTCCATGGTCAATATTCAAGCAACTTCCGATACAGGAAAGAGGCAATGGCCATCAACGAATTCATCCATTTTTTTAAGATTCGAAATCCATTAGCAAGAAGACTTCGAGAATATTCTAGACACACGTGGTCTCAGACTAAGGGAACAGACATGAGCAAGGTATGCTGATCACATTTATAGAACAGTATACCTGAACAAATTACACAG